TAATCACTTGAAATTTCATGGACTTATTCGGACGACGTTCGTTACATCCAGCTCGTTGAATGTCTGTTGTCACTGCCCCACTTAAGTTAATTATCAAAATGGTATATTTATGTATGTACTCTCAACTGTCTAGTAATTAGACTTAGAGCCAATAAGAACAATGGAGATCAACGGATAAGGAACAGTCATCGCGACATACTACTTGAAGGCAAGCAACACACCTCAACTAATATGTCGCAGGAAGAAAGGACCATTTTGACAAAAAGTAGAACAAAACATTTTTAGTTGGTTTTTCACACGCCGATTTTTTTCTCTTTTTGTCATTTTTAATCTTTAAGGTAGTAAACATGTGGATCAATACAATACTGTACACGATTCTTCCACTGATTCCGGTTGCGCGCCATGTCTTCAAGAGTGCTAAGCCATTGGCACTCCTCATCTTTGGGTCCCCATCGTGGAAGACGTACGGATCCCACAGCGGCTGGACACGACGTCAGCGATTTTATGTGCTGCCGCTAAATGGAAGGCTGACCATCACGCGGTCGCCTCCAGCCAGGTCCTTGACGAGCGAATAGAACACGACGCGGTAGACGCTCAGGTGCCATGCGTAGGACGTGACCGAGCCATCTCAACTGGCGCAACAAAACCAGTTTGTTGAAGGGAATGCTCGCATTCCCCAAGATGCGACGTCGAACGTCATTCCTGTTAAATCGATGTTGCCACCTTACACGAGCAATCTACCCTCAGCAACCGTTATCGAAGGCAGAAAGACGACGCATGTCCTCCACGCGAATTGGCCGGGACTCGCTCCCATACAACAACACTGAGGGAACTGATGCGCTGTAAACGCGGCCTTTTAGCGAGAATGAAACGTCGCGACAACGCCACATGTACCTCAGATTGGCAAATGCTGACCGCGATTTAGCGATGCAAATAGAAACGTCGTTATTGATAGTGCCGTCAGCAGAAACACAGCTCCCAAGATAGACGAAACTATCTACCTGTTCAAGTTGTGCACCTTCTAGAGTGAGCACGGGAGCAGGTGAATGCCAATCCTTGAGCAGTATTTTACACTTCGATGGGGCGAAGCTCTTGCTATACTTAGATGCTTCAACCGCCAAACGATCCAGAATGGGTTGCATACCCTGAGGATCATCACCAAGTAAGGCGATATCATCAGCATAGTCTGTCGGTCGCGCACTCACCAGGTAGTAGCTCTAGGAAAAAATGTTGGAAACCTTCTAGAGCACTCGACAGAACGTCTTCGATTGCGAAGTTGAAGAGGAATGGGGACATAGGGCAGCCCTGTCGCACACCGCTATTGACAGCGAATTGCGAGGAAAGTTTGCCATAGACCCTCACTCTGCCGGATGTATGGAAGTGCTCGTAAGATGGCGGTATATTTCTCTGGCACTCCGTTCTTTAGCAAACAACACCATTAAGCAGGTCGATCAACGGAGTCAAAAGCGGCACTTATGTTTAAGAATGCAACGATAGTGGGCCTGTGATAAATGTGGCGATGTTCAAGGAGCTGGCGGAGCGTGAAGATTTGATCCACGCATCCGCGGCCAGGACGGAAACCAGCTTGTTCTTCACGGTAGTATGATTCACGTACTGGGGATAGCCTGCGAAGCAGAATGGATGCCAATAGCTTAGAGGCAAACGAAATTAGACTAATCCCGCGATGATTTACACATGAAGTGCGAGCGCCTTTCTTTAAAATCGGGACAACAACTGATTCGCCCCAAAAGAAGGCGTTTTCTCTTCATGCCAGATTTTTGCGAACAGCGAGGTCAGCTGATTAATGATCGCCACACCGCCGTACTTGAACAGCTCTGGAGGAAGCCCGTCTGAGCCGGCGACCTTGAACCGCTTCAAGCGTCGAATCTCGAGGCAGACTTCTGCTTCGCTGGGTGATTTCAGTGGGACGAACCAGGGTGGACACATAGGTGTACTGATGGACGGTGGAGGCCAGTTGAACTGCGAGTGAAAGTGCTCGGCTCAGCAGTCCATAGGTCTTTGTTGGTTGGTGATCGGAGACTCATCCACCTCGCAAATGATCTCACTGACACCGGGGTTCCTGAGGCAGTGGACCGAATAAGTTGGAAAAGTTTGCGAATGTTACCAGAGAGGGCGGCGGTCTCTAGCTCTAAGGCACGCTCAGACCACCATGCCTCGCGATCCTTGCGTAGGCTTTGCTTGAGCAGCCGGTTGGCAGAACGGCGCCGCTCGTTGCAATCTGGTTCCGTCGGGATTTCTTTGCGGCGTTGGAACAGCTCCAGAGAACGAGCAGAGATCCAAGACTTTAGGGTGCGTCTAGCTAGGCCGCAGCTTGACTGTCCAGAAATGGTCGTCGCTTTCCGTATACAAGTCCAGTGTTGCTCTACGTCTTGCGGTGGATTGCAACTGAGTGCATATGCCAGTGAAGACTGATAGCTCGCCTGGACAGAGGAATCAGTTAATCTGTTGACATCAATCTTGCGGGGCTTCGTGTTTCGGGATCCTCCAAAACACATACAGGTTTTCGCGTAGACCAGTGCATGATCTGTCAATGAAGGTGGACCAAAAGGACCTGCAGTCCAGTACGCTGCCACACCATCTGTACCTGATTGCAATGTGATCAATTTGAGACCACGGTTGTGTTGACGAGGGGTGACGCCACCTTGCGGAACGCCTCTTCGTACGCCTGAAGTTATTGCTCGAGAGAAACAGATGGTTGTTTTCGCACAATGTGAGAAGCCTTTCTCCGTTATCAGAGCGGTTCTCATCGGGCGCGTGATGACCACCAAGGTGGCGTTCGTATGGTAACAGGCAGCCCGCTCGTGCCTTAAAATCCCCAACAGGGACAACGACATCCGATCTTTTGGCATTAGTCAAGAGCTGATGTAGATCCCGGTAGAATTCGTCCTTGACCGAGCCACCACTGTAGTCATTTGAAGCTTACACGGAGATCACATTGCTGGGATCCTGCAACCGGATTTCTGAAAGGCAGCAGACATCAATGTCTAGGGACTCTAGGGTGCGCGCTAGACCGGCTTGCTGTGTAATCTGCATGAGTGTCTGAACGTGAGGATTGTTAGCAAACAAACAATTGGCGTGTGATGAAGTCGCCTGAATGTGAGAAGTAGCAACGATAGCTGATGTGCACGTTGTAGTACAGCCCATGGTTTTGCGAGAGGGCGTGATACTACCCGGTTGCCCAAGCCGAAGTAGGGAGTTGACTTAGGGGACCCCACCCCGAGCCTTTGGCTAAATAACCTACCCGCAAGGCAGCGGGGCAAATTCAGGGAATCGCGCCCATTGGGAGGCGCTGACTGAATGTTCAGTTAATGCGTCTTTCCTTTGGTAGATCACCAAACAGGGGCCCAATCCTCCCCATGAAATCAGCACAATTGCTGGACTACAATGCCCCACCGAGGTGGAACACTGTCACCGAACACTTCGCTGGAACGGGGTACACCCGAACCACCCAGCTGGCACCACGAGGAGGTAGTTCGGTAAGCCAGCGTCTCAAAATGGTTAATTGATACGGTGGCTAAATTGCACGATGAGACTGACAGAAAGGAATAGACGAGTTAGTACATGTCATTTCCCTTGATGAGAATCTCGGAATTGGCCGCATCAGTGAATACAGATCCTATCTGACATGAGACAGCTGCAAAGTCAGCGTCGTTCTTGCAGTTTCGCTTAGTGCCGCAGACTTTTTATATATCGCACTTGCGTCTCTCTCCAGATTTATTTTTTCGATGAATTTGCACCCTCCGATATTTCCTGCACTTATGATTCTTTCATCCACTATCATGGTGGTGTGAGCCACGATTGCCAGATCCACGGCAATTCTGCATCCGGAGCACAACTGACTAAGTGTACTGAACAGAATTTTCTCCGTTGACGGCCATTTCCGCTTTAATCATTGTGTTGATTGTGCAATAAGGCCTGCAGACATATCCTTCATCGCAGTTAGCGGACTGCTGGGATCGATAGGCACTTATCTGGATGGTCAAGTAGTGTGTCCGAAATACATTCGCGTTGCTCAGTACGGATCATGTTACACTATTTTTTGATGGGTAACTGTTTTTCTATTTGATTATCCTGTACTCTGCATCCATTAGCACACAGAATACGTACATAAACATCAGACGGATCATTCGACCAAAAATACCTAAGCGTGCCTAGTCCGTTTCGAACGAAGCATCCATCTGAGTGACGACACTTGAGAGTTTATGCATCTATCCAAGTAGCGCTCTTAGCATGGCTACTACTGCCGGTCGTCTCAGTTTCACAGAACTGCGCGTGAATCGTTGTCAGTACTCCAGATGCTAAATCATCAACCTCTAGGTCTCACTTACCATGTTCCAACGACGGCTCTCTTATCTTGAGCGGCAACAATCAGACCTTGGTTTGTTTTCATGCGCGCTGACCGACTAACTTTCACTTGGGGCCATCCGATGTGGTGCGAATATGCTATTAATCGGAGCCTTAGATAAGCAATGTTTCCGTTGTTTCCAAAACCTCACATCCGATCGACCGAAGCATCGTTTTTATTCCTACATAGCTCTAATTACTCAAACCCTTTGCTTCACTCTATGTTAACGGCAATCAGCCAACGCTAATACCTCCATCCGACAGGTCGGTTCACGCGACCTCTCTTATACAATGATTCTTATGCTCAATTGTCACGTGCTAAGGTATTCAGTGTTATGTTCTTTGCTTTCGTTTACGTATATCGGAACGAAGTGTCTCAAACCACTTCAGTCATACTCTTCCGTCATAGATAAACATGCCTCATACTGGATATCACCTCTCTTCACCACTATTTCTACGTTTTAAACTGTGAATGTATTTCGCGGAAGGGTTAAAGTCGTCAGCTGTAAGAAATTACTCTCTCGTATCGCGTTCAGTAATTTTTCGTTGTGTAACATCAGTGTTGTGGAACACTTCATTGAATCCAGTCGATAAATATGTAAATGTTTTCCTTCACCATTTGTATCTTTTTCCAGGATGCGCTGATTCACTCCACATACGGTCACCCACCAGATGACTGATAATCGGCAATCCACTCGTCTTTCAAATACCGGTTCTCTTTCTCTGGATGCACTGTTGCATGTGGTTTTTGACGAACTGCACCTGAGTTTCATTTTCAAGCAAATAAACGTGATTCAATGAACCAGTTCAACCGATCGTTTTCTACAAGTTTCCTAATGTTGATGCACTCTCATTGAGCTTGAGTCGAAACCAACAAGTAGATCCAAAGCATTTCCGGCTGAAATTTGCGTGACGAGTTAAGCAAACTCATTGTACACGTCAAAGAATGTTTATCAGATTGCGCCTACTTACGCACTTCGATTCATTTTTTTTCCTGCTATCTGCGTTATGCGTGATCGATGGTCTTTCACATTTTCGTATGAAACGCAAGTGAATTCTGCTGGTAACCGCAGCCAGAGTATTGCATGCGAAAAAATAAGGACAAACAACCGCCTTACTCGTTTCTCAATTTTTTTTATTTGCGACGGGACAGTCATGGTGTGGCATTGTTGGTTGCGAACTTCCGTGGTGACACTTTTCGAGTTTTCAAGGCCACCTGAATCAGATAGACTAATGGCTGGTAGTCAGACACAACCGATATCGACATTCCTCGCGGAAGAATGAGAAATGGTTATATTCCATTAAAATCGGACCCTGGGAGATGACAATACACGAGTTATATGTCCGACCCGATTGTCTTCTCCAATTACGTGCCGACTCATTTTCCTTTTGTTTCTGCCGCCGGACTTTTCCACTTGGCGAGTGACCGACGAATCTAACGTGCACGTATGTCGTGGTCCTTTTGAAATCACTGCCATATTTAACCTCCAGCACTGCACGTTCCTGCACATGCTTCACACTTTCGTTTTACAGTGCTACTTTAGGATCGGCACCAAACAACCATTGAAATTGGTAGGACAATTCACTTGCATGTACCCGCTCTGATAGTGAGCTCACCGAAGTTAACGGTTGGAATTTAGTTCAGACGCTCTAGCTTCGATTCTCCTCTGATGCATGGGCTTGGGTGCCCCTGTCAGCGCACAACCACATGTGGCTGTATTACAGTGAGGAGGCAATACAATTCACTGGTGTTACCGATGGCTTTTTTTAACATATCTTGTGATCCTGATAGTGGTCAGAAGCCACATCTACTCGCAACACTGAGTTGCACATGCCGGGAGCAAAACGTCCCCACAATTTTTTCATCCGACACAAGTGCGCACTAGTTTACATGACACTCGGTACATAGAACTAAATTTCGAAAATGCGTTCACAAGTCATCACCTGGACATCGTTCTTTCTGTTTTGTCCTCAGGGGTTCGACATAGCAGCTTCTTAGATTGCGCAACGCAAGTCAAAAGACAACCCAGCGGACGAGAAGTATATTTGCGAAACACAGAACAGGGCGACTTGGGAAAGAAAACACACCGATACAGTTCAAACCACGGCTGTGTGCTAGTTTGAATTTGTAGTTCTCAAAAATCACGGGACGTGTGAGTGGTGTGAAACAAGCGATAGTAGCAAATGTTCTGCAACACAGAAAAACACTAGTCTGCTTGCAACTGGGACTGTTCTGATGCAAAGCACACGGTTCCTTGTGGGGAATTGCGCACTTACCTTCCCGAACAAGTCAATTTGTGCCGTTTCTGTGTGCAGTTGACTTTGGTCTGTGTGAAATTCTGTTTTTCCATCCAAGTTACAAGATTTGGCCTGAATCAGTGGCGCCAATGACTTGGTTCTCAGACAGCGCAATTTTCCTCGGAGCAGACCGTTCGAGACCTAATAACTCCCCCTTGTTGAAACAGTTAGACCGGTAGTTGTATAGGTCTTCTTTCGGGGATCGACCTGCAAGGGTTGCACGCATATTCTTACCCGTTGTGGCCTTAGTCGGTGTTCACTTCCAGTCCGTTCCCCAAGTTGCGTATCCTGTCCGGTCGAGGTGCTTGGGTGCAAAGTGCATAACAATTCATGGAAATCAAATCTTTTGGGGTCGCGTGTCTCTGGGATCCTTGCAAACCGCGGTCGCATTTGGTTGGCATGGCGAACCCATACTTGCCTACCAACGCGAACATCGTACATTACTTTGCCACGTCGTCCCACGACTTGACCTGGTATCCAACTTATTCGACGCCCTCGATGAGAGGCAGCAAATACTGCGTTACCAAATCTGAAATTTGCGCCGTGCTCCGTGTACCGTCTGTTGTACTGTGCTTCCATATCCAAATTCGTACGACGTTTCGGAGCCATCAGATCTAAGGTGGTTCTCAGTCTTCGGCCCATGAGGGCTTCAGCGGGTGACTTCCCATCTGGTGCATTGTGGTTCGGAGTTACTCGATAATTCCACAAAAATCTTTCATCCAGCGTTCCCTTGCCCTTCGATTTTAACAAGGCACGTTTTGGGGTGTCGACATAACTTTCTGCTTGCCCATTTGTTTGGGGAAGATACGTCGTAGTCCTCATGTGTTGGATTCCATTGTGTGCGCAAAAATCAGCGAATTGATAGGATATGAACTGTGATCCGTTATCCATCGCAGTGAGGCTGGAACTTACCGTAGTGCGCTGGTTTGTGTGCCTCAGCAAGCCATTGAGCTATGCTGTGTGGTGCTTTTCTTGCACCTTCAGAGCCACTCATACCAGATTGGTCAATGGTTAGAGGCCAGACAAACTCAGCCTCCAGGTTGGGGGTTGGGATGAGGTGGTTCCTTATTCCTTTAAACGGACTCCTTGTAGCCCAACGCCAAAGCCGCTGCCTTGCGGTCAGGTTTTTGAGCCAAAGGCTCTGGTTGAGAACCCTAATCGTTCTCCAGTCTAGGCCTGGGCAACCTGACAGTATCCTGCCCACGCAATACAATGAATTTCACTTCAGTTTCTTGATGCTCTGACTATGCAGAGGATACTAAATGGCGCCCTGTCTACTGCATAGAGCAAGGTGGATAGAGGTTGGAATGCTACTGCTCAAGATTTCCCGTCTTATTCACTCTCTTACGCTTTTTACCCTTATCGTCCTGCTCCAGCTTCACTTTTATCCCCCCGGTTCTTGGCCTTCCCCACCTTGCTTTGCTAGGCTTTTACCTTCTAGTTTTAACTCACATGTGAACGCGGAGTGTCATTCCTGTCGACAAGCCCATGTCCAACCAAGCTGCCAAGCCCAGTTCATCGACTTCCATTTGAAGCCCTCGATCATCCTTCAGATTGACATGCCTCAATGTACGCACATTGCTACAGATCGGCCAACAGACAGCAATTGCCCGAACATTAGAGACCCTCTCGGTCGATATCTGCTGCTTATCGGAGACCCGCCTGCAAGAATCGAGCTCTGTGCTCAATTTGCGAGCCCATTCAGGTGACACCATCAGCACTTTCTCATTGCGCCTATCCGGTGACGATGCAGTTTCGAGTACCGGCCAAGCTGGTGTTGCTATTGCCCTGAGCCCTCGAGTTGAAGCCTCTCTGGTTGACTAGATTCCAATCACTGACTCAGCTCCTTCGCCACAGAAGAAGCGCGGACACTGTTGTGCTGGCGGGGGATCTGAAGGCTCCAGTTGGAAAATTATCCACTGATGAACTGCATCTGGGCTTCCAACATAGTGTAGGCTCCCGTAATGAAAACGGTGAGCGGTTACTTCATTTGTGTGGGGATGCTCGCTTATTTCTTGCGAGCACTAATTTCCGACACAGCACTCGCCGGAGGGTGACTTGGCGCCCACCAGCCTCGAACTAGCTATGGACGCAAATCGATCACATTGTGATAAGTTACCGATGGAGAGGCTGCGTCCAGAACTGTCGCTCTATTTGGAGCATGGGTTTGGACATCGACCATGCAATTGTATGTGCTGAGCTGCGGATGCGTTTTGGCGGACGCCCACGACGACGTTGTGAACGCATTGATACCAGCCAACTGACAAAGCCAGCTGTTCAGAATGCCTATCAACGTATGTTATCATGCGAGTTGCGTAAGCGTTCACTGGATACAATTGAAGCTCACTGCTCTCATATTCAACAGACCGTACCAGCATCAGGAATATCCTCATGTGGTAAGTTTAATCGCCAACATGGACATTGGGTCTCTTCACAGTCTCTGTAACTTATCGATACTCGCCGGCATATTCCGACTGGAAGCGAACACAATGAAACTCGCAAAGAGTTCCGGGGAAAACTCCTTGTTAGCCTGAAGAGAGACCGTGAATCCTGGTGATCTCATCGTGCATCAGAAATGGAAATGGCCGCTGCCCTTGGTAACCATTGAAAGTTATTCCGTCTGATACGGGCAGCGGGCAACAGGAGATCTGGTGTTAGCGAAACTATACGTGTGACGAGAGTGGACAGCCTATCCACAACTTATCAAAACGCTTGGAGCTTTGGTCTGAGCACTTTGAAAGACAATGTAATCGGTCGAAATTGTTAGCTTTCTCGCCGGCCACTGATCGCCCCGCTCCGTGGGCTGTCCCTTTGGATCCACTCTCTCGCTCAGAAATCGAACGTGAGATCGGACTGTTGAAGTTGAATAAAGCCGTGGGACCAGATGATCTTCCTCCAGCCCTCTTCAAATTCGGGAGACCTGCTCTTGTGGATGATTTCTACGAGTCAGTAGTGAAAATCTGAGCAGGAAACTATCCTAATCGACTGGAGCTGCTCCGTCATAGTCCCAATTTTCAAGGGAGGCTCACGATCAGAATGCGGCAACCACAGAGAAATCAGTCTGATCTCCGTCGCCTCCAAATTGCTTGCCTCTGTCATTCTTCACAGACTGGCTGGCACTCGTGAAAGCCAGATTCGTGAAGAGCAAGCCGGGTTTCGTCTACGTCGTGGCTGCATGGACCACATCTTCACCTTGCGTCAGTCGTTAGAGCACCGTCACATATATTGGCGGCCCACTGTTGTCGTGTTCCTCGATATCAAAGGTGCATTCGATTCGGTGGACAGACGTGCACTTTGGGACTGTCTACTCAGGAAAGGTGTATCTGAGAAATACGTAAATATTATCCGATCATTATACGCGCGTAGCTCAGGCAGGATGAGGGCTTACGGCAAGTCGTCGTCGTCCTTGAATATCTCCAGCGGTGTGGGACAAGAACGCCCGCTGTCACCTTTCCCCTTCAACTTCGCTATTGACGAAGTCGTGGAAATCGCGTTCACAGGACACGACTTAGAAGGTGTGGAGCTACTCCCAGGAGAACGACTTCTTGATTTAGAGTATGCTGATGATATTGCCCTAATCTGTGACAGCTCACAAACGTGCCAAGCGGCACTGGACAGATTAACACTGGCTGTCCGTCACTTCGGGCTTTGATTTGCACCCTCGAAGTGCAAAGCGTTCCTCCAAGATTGGCAGTGATCGCCTGCGCTGACTCTTGGTGTGGATCAGCTAGAAGTCTTTCGGAAATTCAAGTACTTGGGAAGTTGTATCAGCGCCCGTGGGATTGAACCGCATAGCAAACGATCGCGGCGCTTTTGTTAACCTTCACCACATATGGCGGCGGCGGGACATCACTCTGGTCCTGAAGGGTAGAGTGTACAATGCAGCGATACATTCGCCCCTACTGTACGGTTGTGAAACCTGGCCGCTTAAAGCAGCGGACCTAAAGAGGCTGGTTACGTTCGATCACCGGTGCCTTCGCAATTTAACTCACATCTGGTGAGCAACGAGTGTGTTTGACTTCTTGTTTACGGCACAGGAAAAGGAAATGAACCGCTTAGCACAGTTATTTCACGCACCAAGCTCCGATGGATCGACCGCGTGTTCGCATGCCAGCCCACCGACTCCCACGACGTGCGTTGTTTGCGCGCCGGGGTGTGGATGGAAGAAGAGGAGGGGTGGCCAAGCGATGAATTGTTCGAGAGGAATGTAGGCTCTCACTTCGAAGCTGGATTCATTTGGAGCGTCTCGGCTCCCCGGTTGGGGTCCGAAAGACGATGAACACGTTTGGCTGGATACACTTGCTGATATGGCTAGGAGCCGACCTCAGTAGCGTTCGTGCTGTGAGTTTCTTTTTCCCGCCCCATCCCTCTTAGCCTCTCCCTCCAACCACGATCTTATTATTAAGCATTTTATAATTCTGCGTAGTAAATTATTTTTCTTCTGCTGTATAGTAGCCGGCAGGTAGCTTACCGGAACGATGCCCATCCTTTACCGGTAGCTCAGCTGGCTTCAACCTGTTGCATTTTATTCCCTTTTTTCTTTTAGGTATTGCGGCACAGTAGCTGAGGTGTTTCCCACATCTAGCTAACGTGTATAGTGTGTGCGTGTGTGTGTGTGTGATCCGTTATCCGATACGTTTCTGGCAGACCTTACTGACTGAAAACACGCTTCAGCGCAAGGATCGTACTGTTTGCGGATGTGTTTCGCTTCACAATAACTTCAGGCCAATTACTGTGTGCATCAACAAGGATGAGAAAGTAAGCCCCCTCAGCTGGTCCTACAAAATCTACATGTATCCGCGACTAGGGTGATTCGGGATTCGGCCAAGATTGCAATGTTGTCCGCACCGGCAACTTGGAAACACTGCAGCATTTAGAACAGGATCGTCCATTGTGTTCTATTTGACTATACATCATGAGCCAATACGTAAGTGCGCACAAGTGCTTTCATGCGGGCGATTTCTGGGCGGCCCTTATGCAACTGCCTCAGCACGCGTTGCCTGAGTACTTCAGGAATGACAACGCGATCCGCGAAAAACAGACAGGCATCGACTTCGGACAAAGCGTCGCGTCGCGTGAAAAACTGTACAAGGCATTCTTCAGGGTATTGCTTTGGCCATCCTTGTGTCGTATAAGTCAATACTTCCTGTAGCAATGCGTCTTGGTTCGTGGCTTGCTGAACCATTCCTGCGTTTACCGGTAAGGTACTCACGGCATCGCGTATCATGTGGCTGGTATCCGTGTCGGTTGTGATTGAAGCACTAACGGCATCTTCATGTTCACGTCGACTAGTATCGATTAATCTGAACAGGGCGTCCACTTGCCCAATAGAGTCAGTTGACGAATACCTTATGTTGAAATCGTATCCCAAGAGCAAGATGGCCCATCTCTGAAGTCGACTGGCGGTGTACGCCGGAATACCCTTTTTGAATCCAAAGATAGCGAGTTAGGGTTTGTGATCCGTTACTAATGTGAAACGCTGTTCGTAAATCATTTTCTGGAATTTCTGAACAGCAAAGACAATGGCGAGAGCTTCTTTCTGGATTTGGCTGTAGTTCTTCTCAGAGGTGGTCAGGGCTCGTGCCGCATGCGCCACAGCCTTTTCTGAACCGTCTGGAAAGCGGTGTGAAATGACTGCACCAATTCCATAGCTCGAAGCGTCTGTAGCCAGGATGATATCCAGATCCGAATTGTAATGAGTAAGCAATAGGTCTGATTTCAGCAGAGATTTCAATTTCCCGAATACCTTTTGACACTGCCTGGACCATTTCTATTCGACATCTTTCATCAGCAGATGATTCAAGGGTTGGCGTAGATGATGCATAGCTGGCAGAAATTAGCTATAGTGACTCACCATTCTGAGGAACGGTCTCAGAGTTGTGACATCTCAATGTTCTCGGGGTCGGGATGTCGGCCTCGTTCATTAATCACGAATCCCAGTAAGTTAATGGATTTCAAGAAGAATTTGCATTTGTCTGCGCGTAAACGGAATCAATAATCTTTGAATCACATCGTCACGTCATTCAGTCGTTGAAATAATTCGCCTATTATGATGATGTCATCCGGATAGGCTGCAGCTCCACTTACCCCAGTTAACATGGCATCCATGGCTTGCTGAAAAATTGCGGGTGCCGTTTTAACTCCAAATGCCAGACGACTGCATTGGTACAGACAACGATGAGTGTTGATCGTGAGAAATTTTCTGCTTTCAGGTTCAACTTCTAGTCGTAAATAAGCATCCGCCAGATCCAAGGTCGCAAAATATTTACCACCAATCAGCTGCGCGAACAAGTCGTCAAGAAGTGGAAGTGGATAGTGATAGGGTTGCAATGCATCATTCAGACCAGTTGAAAAATCTGCACACAAGCGAATAGAACCGTTCGACTTCACGACGATTGGGGCAGACCATGGTGAGAAATTTATTGGCTAAATCACGCCAACTTGCTGCAATCGGTCAAGCTCATGTTTAACAAGTACTTGTGATGCGTACGGGACCGGGCGTCTGGGTCGAAACACTGGTGTGGCACCAGGTAACAGAGTAAGCTTTGCCTGCATCTTGCTACAGTGTCAGGTTGGAAAATACAAGTATACTTCACCTGAAACTGTTCGGCCATGGTTTGACTTGGATGAGGTGGTTTGGCTGTATAATGCACCATGACGTTCGTTTCAGAACACACATTATTCAGTGGTACATTGAGCGAATTCAGTCTATCAATCCAATCAGTGCCAAGAAGATTAATGTCGACACAAGAAACTAAGTAGATGCTTCCACGGAGGCTCAGATCTTTGAATTTAATGTCACATGTGAACTCACCATCTAACCTCAATGGTTTGACGGATGCATTTCGGGCAGTCAGATTGGTGCGCTTCAGTGGAGGTTTGCTAAGTCTCGTCCCCTGACTTGACCTGGTATCCAACTTATTCGACACCCTCGATGAGAGGCAGCAAATACTGCGTTACTAAATCTGAAATTTGTGCCGTGCTCCGTACTGTCTGTTGTACTGTGCTTCCATATCCGAATTCGTACGACGTATCGATGGACGTTTCGGATCCATCAGATCTAAGGTGGTTCTCAGTCTTCGGCCCATGAGGGCTTCAGCGGGTGACCTCCTATCTGGTACATTGTGGTTCGGAGTTACTCGATAATTCAACAGGAATCTTTCATCTAGCTAATTCACTAGGGTTTCTTTTCGTGGGTTCGAATCCCACCTCCATCGCCAGAATCTGTTTTGTCCTCAGGGGTTCGACATAGCAGCTTCTTAGATTCCGCAACGCAAGTCAAAAGACAACCCAGCGGACGAGAAGTACATTTGCGAAACACAGAACAGGGCGACTTGGGAAAGAAAACACACCGATACAGTTCAAACCACGGCTGTGTGCTAGTTTGAATTTGTAGTTCTCGAAAATCACGGGACGTGTGAGTGGTGTGAAACAAGCGATAGTAACAAATGTTCTGCAACACAAAAAAACACTAGTCTGCTTGCAACTGGGACTGTTCTGATGCAAAGCACACGGTTACTTGTGGGGAATTGCGCACTTACCTTCCCGAACAAGTCAATTTGTGCCGTTTCTGTGCGCATTTGTCTTTGATCTTACGTGTGCCGAACGGTTGCAA